GCTCGGGTGGCACTTTAAAAGCCTGCTCCCAGCACCCGAGCAACTTCCCAGCAACTTTCGGCTTCCTTTTAACTCGCGGGCACTCGCGCCTGGCCCCGAGCCGCGTGGCAGAGGGGAAGCCCAGCGGGCGGGCAGGCTGCTTGGAGGAGGCGACCCGGCGGTGCTCCGGCAGCAGCAACAGGCAGTTTCGCCCGGGCTCCGCTCAGGTGTCCGGCTGGGGCTGCCAGGAGTTGCTACCGCCGGCGGAGCTCCGTGCGGCTCCAGTCCCGCGTTGCCTTGGGAAGGAAAAGGCAAAACCAGGAGCCGCTGAGCCTGAGCCTCAGGTGCCACTGCTCCCGTTGCAAAGCACCGCCGCGGCTCTTCCTTTTTGCCTTTCCCTTCCCGAGGCAACGCAGGACCGGAGCCGCGCCGGCGGTAGCAACTCCTGACTCAGGGGGCCTCCGAGGGGAGGGGAAGGAGGAGAAGGGGGGGGCGATTCCCAAAAAATCTTGTGCTGACCCGGCCCGTCTGTCAAATTTTAAAAGTCAATGCGGCCCCCGAGCCAAAAAGTTTGCCCACCCCTGCCTTAGAGGCTAGTCTTTTCATGGTATTTCTTTTCCTTGTATAGTCTATTATCAAGCCTCTGGCATATGCCTTCATTGTATCCCATATGTTCTGGATTGATGTATCTTCTTTTTTGTTTTCTCTAAAGAAGAAAGCCAGTTCTTTCTCTATCCACTGTGTGAAGTCTTTTTCCTTTAATATAGTATGATTTAACGTCCATCTAGATCTTCTTCTTTGTCCTTTCCATTTAATTGTCATTGGATTGTGATCTGCCCAAGTACTTGTTTCAATATTTATTTCTTGAATATTAGTTAACAATTCTGTTGACATCCATATCATATCTATTCTGCACCATGATAAATGTCTATTTGAGTAGAAGGTATATTGTTTAGTTTTAGCATTTCTTTCTCTCCATGTATCTTTTAAGTTTATTTCATCTACCATTTTAAAAAAAGATTAAGGGAGAGTCTTTCTGTTTTGCTTTGTTGTTTTCTGTGCTGTATAGTCCAGTTTATTATCTACAATTCCATTAAAATCTCCCATCATAACTTTATTGGCATAGTCCAGTTCAATTATTTTCATATGTAATTTTTTATAAAATTCTTGATTGTCGTTCGGGGCATAGATTGCAATCAGGAGTGTTTTCATATTATTGTCCATTATTTCCACCATTAGTATTCTTCCATCGTCATCAGTATAGATCAATTTTGCTGGGATAATATCTTTAATGTATAAAACCACTCCTCTTTTCTTGCATTGTGTCAAAGAAGTAAATATTTTCCCTAATTTTGGCTGTATCAACAATTGTTCATGTGGCTTTTTGATATGTACTTGTAGGCAGATTATATCAAATTTTAATTTCTCTAATTTATGGAAAGTTTTCCTTCTTTTAATGGCTGAGTTAAGTCCATTTATATTAATTGTAATCAGTTTTTTCTCTTCCATGGTTATATTTTATAGTTAGGTTTAGCAGCTCTCGTAGATCTTGGTTCATGTTGTTCTTTGGCTTCCACCTTTCCACCTACTACACCTTCTTTTTCAGTCGCCATTTGGCAGTCCTCTTGGAATTCAATTGATGAGATTTCTTTTTCTGCCTCTTCCTCTTTCCCTCCAAAAAATTCTGTGTAAAATGATTCAGCTTTCTCAATTGAGTCGATTCTATGTCTCTGTTCTTGCCATGTGAACATTAAACTTTCTGGAATCAGCCATCTATAATTCACCTCTTTTTGAAGTAGCATTTTGGTCAGAAATCGGTATTCTCTTCTCATCTCTCTCACTCTTCTGGGTACTTGTTTCAGGACCACAATCTCCTTGTCTTTATATTTCAATGTTTTCTCTCTTGTCACTTGCAATATTTGCATTTTAATGGCTTTCTTTGTAAATCTGATGTGAACTTCTCTTGGTAAGCTATTTCTCATTGCATATCTTGTGAAGATTCGATAAATCTTATCTATTCCATCAATCATCTTCTCTTTAGTTATTTCTAAAGCTTCAGTCAAAATTTCTATGATTATCTCAGCTAGGTTTTGTCCCTTTTCTTCCTCTGTGTTTTGGAATCTGAGATAAAATTCTGATCTGTCCATCTCCCATCTCAGCATCCCACTTTTATCTTGTTTGACCACAGTTAATCTGCTATCAATATCTCCAATCTTCTTATCTCTTTGTTTATCTTCTTCAATTTTTTGGAATCTCTCATCATACTTCATCATCATTTGTTGAATGTTCTCCACCTTTTCATCAGTTTTCCCTGTTCTTTGTTCAATGTTCTCTGTTCTCTTTTCAATATTCTCTGTTCTTATTTGAATATTTTGAATTCCTTGCATAATCATCTGCAGGGTCACTTTTTCCTGTTCTTTTTCTTGTCTTAATATTGTCTGTATTGAACGTTGTCCTCCAGATGGTGGAGAGGAAGAAGTAGAAGTTGAAGAACCAGGAGCTGTTAATTTCCTACTCATTTTGAGCAATTCAGAATCTTCAGGTTCTTCTAGACCTTAATCCACTTGTGAAATAACCAATTGCAATTTCAAATAAAAATAGTAGGAAAAAAGAAACCAAATAGTAGCAATAATAATAATAATAATAATAATAATAATAATAATAATAATAATAA